TTGACAGAAAATGTAACTATATATCTATCAAATTGTTAAAAGCCAATAGAAATAGGGTAGATGCCAAATTTTTTTTAATGTCCGTCTGGTGTATTATTTTATATCATTACACACGTATTTTTTATTTTCTTACAGAAACAAATACTTTCGACGATGTATTAATTTGAAATGTCGCGTGACGTCACTTCTGTGTACATTTTATACATAGAAATGGCGTTTTAGCCCCCACTCCTACACTCATAAACATTGATTCGTATTATGTAATTGTATTGTTTTGTTATACAACAAAATAAAAAAATACATGTCTAATGTTTTTAACTTACAGAGTCAGACTAATTATATTTTTCATCATCCCAATTGTATTTTCAACACCACCCACATGCTTCCAGATTTGCGATTAACTTAAAATGCGGTACGAAGGGGTTTCCTCGCGACGACATCGCTTTCCACTTCAACCCTCGCTTCGATCTGAAGCATATTGTTCGCAATCACTTCGATTCCTCAATAGAGTCCTGGGGTGATGAAGAAACTGGTGGAGGCTTGCCACTAAATCGTGGAGAATGTTTCGAAGCTCTGATTCAATGCTACTACGACTGCTTTAAGGTGAGAGTTTTTTTGGGACAAGCCCGCCACAACCTACCAAAACCGCTGCAACTTCTGTAAGGGTCAGTTTATACTAGGCAGAGGCGAAGCGCCCCGGAGCGACAAATTTTTTACAACTAAAGCGAAGCCGCACGAATGCGCGCGTATTCGAGAGTATAAGCTCGCACTCTTTGACGAGTGGTAGGTAATGGGGATTAACTGCATGGATTATATTATATTTTTACACCAGGTAAATTCATTTTTCGTTCGAATCCATCGTGTACCACACTGACGCACGCCAAATGACGGCGCGTAGTAGGTTCGATAGTGGGCGCGGGGATACGCGAGAATGCGCGCGCACCAATCAGCGTAGGTCGCGCGCAGACGTGCGAATTTCGAAGAATGCGTGTCTTTTTAACAGAAGCAATGCGTGCGTTACCCAACAGGGTTAAGGTTGAATTTGTTATGTTCAGTTGACGCTTCGATGCGCTTCGACTCTGCCCTAGTATAATTTGACCCTTAGTCAGGATCTACAGTAGATGCAACCATGAAAACACCGGAATTCTGAAGTCGTCCCAGGGACGTCCAGGGACATTAATAACTGTTTTGGATCAAATAAAAATAAGTTTATAATTAAAATTTAATTTAATTACTATTATTTGTTTAAACTGTCAAACACCGAGCGGTCACCGGTGACCGCAACCTATTGTTCTATAATTGTGTCTATAATGACGGTACTTGACGAGTTAAATTAAACAATTTTCTATGGATAGAGATGTGCGTAGAATTTATTGTTTTTTGAAGGGCGCAAGACAGTCTGGTTTCGGTTGAGCCGAAAGATGAAGCGTGAGCAGACCCGCTAGGTGAACCGACGACATCCTCTGAGCTGTCTTTCGGAGTAGCGGAGTGAGGCGGAGGTCTTTGTCTAACAGTGGACGTATTCCGACTGTTGATGATGATTATGATAATGATGAGACCGGCAAACGAGCAGAAGGATCACCTGATGGTAAGCAATCGGCGCCGAATGAACAGTAGACAGTAGCAATATCGAAATAGTTACAAGTGCGAGGTCGGTCTTCGGAGGCTTTAGGTAATCGGGAACATCCCTTACAATACAAGTAAGTCTTGTTTCACGCGCCGTTATGAGAGGCCGTGGTATCACTCCAGTCGAGTCGATACTGGAGCTTTTCAACGTAATTTCCTACCCCATTTTTTGCAATACTAACCTCTCCAACTCCTGCTAGGTGGCGCTAAACGACACTCATTTCTGCGAGTTCTCCCACCGTATCCCGTACCATAGGGTGTCACACGTCATGATCAAAGGTGACGTCATTTTACAGCAGATCACCATCGAGGGGACACTTCTACAGCAAGTTAACATGGTAAGCTACATTAGTGCAGAACTCACATGTGACGATTTGATTTGATTGAAATTCGGTTGAACGAGAGTTTGAGATACTGGCATTGGAAAGGAAATCTCACGGGAGAGGAACTATGCGTTAAAATTCCGGTACTCTCTATTGCATAAACCACTGAACCTATTTTTTGAGTGCAATTCGGTACAACGATAGTTTGAGACTCGGAAAATGACGCCTTATAGTTTTCAACCGCTTTACCTATTTGATTTTTTTTTAAACGTTGCCCCACACTATGATTTTCTCCTGTGTCGTGGGTGCGTTTACAAACATACAAGTTCATATACACATGACACACAGACCCGGAACAACAATCTGTGGATCACACAAAGAGTTGTTCCGTGCGGGAATCGAACCACCGACACGTTGCGCGGCAGCCAGTTTCACAGCCACCGCGCCAACCGTGCAGGCATTGGGCAGGATTGGAATTTAAATAGAGTTTGAATCACTGAAACCTCATGGGAATGACCGAATGAATACAATGCGGGTAAAATCCCTGTGGGATTGTTTATTTTATGAAATCACGAGTACTTATAAACAACATTTCACAATAAATAAAACTAAATTGAATCTGATGACATTTGTTACACAGCATTGCAATTAATCTTGGAGACTAATAAAAAATCCAAAATTTGCCAGAAGTCATTATTGTACACGGACGAAATCGCCGGGAACAGCTAGGATTTTTTTAAGGGCGGAAATCATTGATTGACTGACTGCTCCCGCCTGGGTATGGCAGGAGGGATTGTCAGACTCTTACTGACTAAAAACCACCCCATTCCTTCTACTGCACGTCGAGCCGGAGCCCCGGTAACCCGTTAGGTTTTCCGCGACTCCGAATCGGCATCAGCCCTATTGGGCCCCATCCGTGGTGGTCTGATGGGTCTTTGAGGCGCGCACAGAACGCGACGCGCCATACGTTCGGGTCTGGTTCTGGTCGGGCGGCGAACCACCCATGCTAGCCGTCTGCAGGCCGGCGCTTACGGTGCCTGGAGATTGTCTCGAGATCCTCGACCCCCAGAGTGTCCTGCGCGATGGCTGGGTTGCGAGGAGGCAGCGCTTCGCTGCCTCACGCGTCCCGCCTCCTCCTTAGATAGCATGACTGCTTCGCAAAAGGAGGAGATGGCATCCCAGTCCTCCTCGCTCCGCATCATGGCCTGCACTAGGCCCGGACGCGAAAGGTCGCCATCGCCGATCACTTCCCTGAGGGCACAGCGGTGCTCAGCCCACGCAGGGCATTCCGCTACAGTGTGTTCCACCGTGTCCTCAGGGCGGTCCTCGCAGTGATGCCACCCGGGCGTTTCCTCCCGCCCCATCAGACACAGGTACCTCCCGAAACTTCCATGTCCGGTGAGGACCTGCGTCAGGCGGTAGGTGAGGACGCCGTAGCGTCTCTCAAGCCACTCCTCAAAGAGGGGTCTTACCGCTGCAATGGCAGCGAGCCCAGAACAGCTAGGATAGGGCACTACAAGATTTACCAACAAATTGTCTCATTTTATTAATGATGTTGTTTTGTTACAGACTAATTTGGACCCCAAGATGCACTGGTGAGATATTCTTCTATATTTTATGAGCTACTACATAGTTTAAAACTGAGTGTAGGTATAATTATTTAAGCGTGTACAAACGTGTAAAAATTCACCTCCTACTTTTTTTTATGGCATAAGCCGGTAAACGATCTGACGGATCACCTGATGGTAAGCAATCGGCGTCGCCCATGGACACCTGGAACACCAAAGGCGTTACAAGTGTATTACCGGCCTTTTGGGGATTAGGAATTTGAGGATCGTTGGGGATTCAGGGATTGGGGAGATTAGGGAAGGGAAGGGTAATTGGGGAAGGGGAGGCCTCCGGTAACCTCACTCACACGCCGAAACATAATGCAAGCGTTGGTTCACGTGGGTTTTCTGCTCGGCCGTGGTATCACTCCGGTCGAGCCGGCCCGTTCGCGCCAAAGCATGGCTCTCCCACACTTAATACCTACTAATACTTAGGACCTACATATCAGATATTATTTTTTCTCCTCTTATAATATCTTCTGATTTACGTTCCGAGAACCAAGACAGTTGTTCATGGCTGTAGGTCGCGCCGGACTTTAGTGATCCGGTTTTTTTTTTAAATAAATAAATAATATGTTTTCACTGTTATAGCGGACTTGTCTACCTACATAATCGTTTTTATTATCTTTCCAGGAAATACCCTGCATGTGCCCCATTCTTAAGGGTATGTACCCCGGCTGCATGTCCGTCTGGTACATTATTTTAAAACTTTGGACACGTATTTTTTCTTTTCTCACAAAATTAAATACTTTCGACGATATATTAATTTGAAATATCGTGTGACGTCACAGAGTGTCACGTTTTGTAGCACGCTATGACGTAACCACCTCCCGCTCCTAAACTTATCGCCATTTTATCTAAGTATTGCAACTTAGTACGAGAAAATAAAAAAATACGTGTCTAATATGACTGCACGGTTGGTGCGGTGGCTGGGCAACCGGCTGCCGTGCAACGTGTCGCGGGTTCGATTCCCGCACGGAACAACACTTTGTGTGATCCACAAATTGTTGTTTCGGGTCTGGGTGTCATTGTGTATGTAAACTTGTATGTTTGTAAACGCACCCACGACACAGGAGAAAATCCTAGTGTGGGGCAACGTTTTTTTTAAAAAAAAAAATATTTTTTAATTATCTAACTGACGGACTAATTAGATTTTTGATTTTGATACCCTGGGCACTACCCAATTAGATCAGGAAGGCACTTGTGAACGTCAACAACAAAAATGTAGAAGTGGAGCCATTTGCTCATTCCAAACCATAGATTCCTATGGAGAAGAACGAGCAAGAAACTCCATAGGTTACTCTTTTTCAATCAGGTGCACAATACAATTCTCTAGTAGCATAATTTTGCTCGTTCGATTGAATTTATTGTTAATCAAATTCCAGATTAAGCAATAAAATATTTTGCTATGTTTATAGGAAGTGCCGCCTGTGCATCCCTTCCCTGGGGGTATGTACCCTGGGCGCACAATCAGATTGAAGGGTACAATCCCTCCCGAAGCGAAAAGGTAATGTTTATTTTTTTATGGTATAAGCCGGTAAACGAGCAGACGCATCACCTGCTGGTAAGCAATCGGCGCAACCCATGGACACCTGGAACACAAGAGGCGTTACAGTGCGTTACCGGCCTTTGAGGATTACGAATTTTAGCATTGTTGAGGATTCAGGGATTAGGATAATTGGGTCTCCGGTTTAGGCATTCTGGCTGGCAGCAAATTACGTACTATAAATCGGTTTTATTTAGCTTGCGAGCTGCTCAGTTTATGTTTGTTTGTTACACCGATTATAATACGGTTTTCAGAAAAGGGTTTTACACCTCCACCCGACTACTGAAAGGCTACACAATTTTGACGTGACAACGTCTTAAATTAGGTTGCGGCTGGGAGTCACTTATAAAAAGTGTAACGCTCGGTAACGTTACGATGAGTCACCGAACGAGAGAGAGGCTCGCCGAATGCCTTGCGTCTCTCTCCCACTCAACTATGATCGGTCTGCCGCGCGCGCAGCACTAGTTCATTCAATTCCTTGTTCCTATTGTGCAATTTAATTATATTCATATCAATAAATATTCTACCGAGAAAAAGACGTTGTCACGTAAAATCTTCGCCCGTAAAAACGACTTTACAGGCAACCATTTTTTTTAGTAGTACTTAAATATCATGCCGTCTCTTTCATTTTATAAAGAATTTCTAGCGACAGAACTATAGTTAAGCGCGCTTAATAATGAGTAGCGTTTGAGTACTTCAGCGATATTTTTTTTATGACATCGAGCCGACGGATCACCTGATGGTAAGCAATCGCCGTCGCCCATGGAAACTTGGAACACCAGAGGCATTTTTTTTTTTTTACCGGCCTTTTGGGGATCAGGAGTTGGAGGATTGTGCGGTTTTTTTTTTTTGGGGAGATTGGGGAAGGGGGGAGGGATCTGGGCCTCCGTTTTTTTTTTATATTATATTATAGTGGCAGGTTTCAGTATACTAACTGACTGCATGGTTGGTGCAGTGGTTAGGCAACTGGCTGCCACGCAACGTGTCGCGGGTTCGATGCCCGCACGGAACAACTTTTTAAGTGATCCACAGGTTGTTATTCCGGGTCTGGGTGTCATTGTGTATGTGAACTTGTATGTTTGTAAACGTACCCACGACACAGGAGAAAATCCTAGTGTGGGGCATAAAAAAAAACACAGACCTACTTAAAAAACAAAGGAGATTATAGTAGGTATTTAAAGTAGTTTAATAAAGGCCGTGGTTTTCCCAGTGGGCTACTACATGAGGTTCTTCAAGACAGGAGTGAATAGGTTTCTTAAGGGTCGGCAAGACGCATGTAATGCCCCAAGTGTTGCAGGCGTACATAGGCCACGGTAACCGCTTACCGTTAGGTGGGCCGTGTGCTTTTTGCCACTGTAGTGGTATAAAAAAAAGGTCTTTGCTTCCAGGTTTGCGATAAACCTGCAATGTGGACCCAAGATATATCCTCGTGAAGACATAGCCTTTCATTTCAACCCTCTCTTCGGGGCGGCGCGTGTTGTCTGCAATCACTTCTTGTCTTCGGATTGGGGTGACGAGCAACTGATTATTGAAGACTTACCGTTGAACTGTGGAGCCTCATTCGAAGTTCTCATTGTTTGTTTTCTGCATTGCTTTAAGGTATGCCATCTTAAACTGTCAAACACCAAGCGGTCACCGGTGACCGCAACCTATTGTTCTATAATTGTGTCTACAAAACCGGTACTCGACGAGTTAACCTCAAACCACTGCTGGACTTATCTCCTGGGGGAGGGGCCTCCTCTAGTGAGCGTTGTAATAAATAAGTTCATTAAGCAGAGTCTAGGTGGCAGCGCTCTCTAATAAACATTAACCTATTAACTTCGATATCCATTAATTGAAATGGATTATGAAAAAATCGTGCGTCATGATGAGAAGGCCCACAGTCCTGCAGGTGACCGCTCTCCACTAACTACATTATAGACCTTATTTCTGATGTTTTGAGACTACTTTTGTATGAACAAATTTAGGGTACGATATTTTCATCAGGTTAGTCGAATTGTAATAATAGCTGTCCAAAGTATCCAATGTCCAACAAAGTAAAAAGTAGGCGCATTTTTATTTTTCTGAAATAGCTCCATCTATCGTCTGGATAACTTTTTTTACAAATCTAATTTCACCACCCTCCTCGATAGGTGGCGTTGAACAGAGAACATTTTTGCGAGTTTCATCACCGCATCGCGTTTCATAGGGTTACACACATCTCAGTTGATGGTGACGTCATAGTACAGCAGATCGCCTTCGAGGGGGCTTCACCGCCGCAGGAAACATACATGGTAAGGACCTATCCGTGTACGAGTGCTTGAGTAACTGGTGTTTCTTGCTCGTTCTTCTACACACGAATCAAAACTTTGGAACGAGCGCATAGAGCAACTAGACTTAACTAGAGGACTGACCCACAGACTGACATTTTATAACTAAGTAACTATATTGTTTGACTGCCTCATTGACCGAGTGGTCGCAAGTGGGAGTGCTGAGCTAAGGGTCTCGGGTTCGATTCCTCTTCTCAGAAAATTCTCAGTAGTAGCACGAAATCTGGGATTGTGCCCGGTATATGGCAATAGTATAGCTGAATTATTTGCTTCGTATTATTGTTTGTTTTACTATAAGCCAAAGTACCTGAGACAAATATATAAATGAAATAAAATAGGCTCACCCCCTATTACATAGGACTCATAAAATAAATAGTGAAAAGTGGGTGTTACATTGTACAGTGGCATTAAGTCCCGTAATGTGCACCTCTGTGTTATGTCATGAGTACGGCATAATGTATTTTACTAGCTTCTGCCAGCGACTTCGCCCGTTCCCGTGGGATAAAAAGTAGCCTATGTGTTACTCCAGACCATAATCTACCCCTGTTCCAAATTCCATACCGATTCCTTCAGCCGTTTTGACGTGATTGAGGAACAAACATACAGAGGCTTTAGTACGAGTTTCATTTACGTTTAAATTAATAGTAACGAGTATGCGTTCGGCGCTCTGATTGGCCAATGAACCAAGCAATCACAGCGCCGAACCCGTACTCGTTGTGATTACTTTAAACTGTCAAACACCGCGAGTACACCGGTGACCGCAACCTATTGTTCTTTAATCTATACTAATATTATAAAGAGGAAAGATTTGTACCTATTTTTGTATGTTTGTAATGAATATGCTCAAAAAGTACTGGACCGATTTAAAAAATCTTTTACCAATAGAATGCTACATTCTTCCAATTTGACATAGGCTACATTTCATTTTGAAAATATTAGGGATCCTTGGTAAAATTTGAACAATGTAACCGAAGGTGTAGAAAAATGAGTCTTAAAATGTCTTTCGTTGAATGCGCTGCCGAAACTATTAGCGATAGAACAAAATAATGTACAACAGTATTGAAGAACAACATAATGTCTACAAAAACTGCGCGGTAGCATATGTCCAACTATTGTAGTTATGTCACTACAACAATGCAAATTTCCACAAATAAATAATTGTCTACCCCGTGCGAAGCCGGGACGGGCTGCTAGTTGTATCTATAATGACGGTAATCAACGAGTTAAACGTAAGACAAACTTGTACTAAGGCCTCTGATTGGTTGCTTCACTGGCGCCGGCCAATCAGAGCGTCGAACGCGTACTCGTATCGAAAACTTTAAACGTAAGACAAACTCGTACTAGGGCCTCAGACAAATATTCGCATTTATGATATTTTTAATAAGTTCTGTTTCTATACATGTTTCTGTTTGACGCAGACTACTACTGACCCCCTTACCGTGGTGGACAGATGTCATGCAGGAATATAGTGTCAGAGAGCCATGCTTCGACACGAATGGGCCGACTCGACCGGAGTGATACCACGGCCGGGCAGAAAACCGACGTGAAACAACGCTTGCGGAGGCCCAATTACACCCCCCCCC